TGAAAGTGTCCGAGTTCATCGGATGGCATGGCTCGGCCTTGCAGGCGTGGTCCCAGCTGAATGTTATCTTGTATCTTCTATTCATATTAAATATATTCTATCTCTAGCCCAAGCTTGTTCTCTATCACGTATTGGTAATTGTTACAGTGCAATGAGTTGCTGTAACTCCGCCTGGAGCCCCTTTCCGGGGGCTACTGCCGGTCCCAAGCCCGGATAAAGGAGAAGGGTTGGGCATGGGTTGGCGACCCCATCCCGTAGAAAACTAACTCGCTAAAAAAACGCTAACCAGAAAAAATTATTCAAACCATTTAAACTCTGCCCTGGGAGTCAGAAGGTCTTCGTTTAGAAGAATTATGAAGCCTCACGATGAAAGCCGAGTTTTTCGGAAGTCACGAGGCCGATGCCCATTCTGACAACCAGAGCAACCATTTATTTAGGTACATGGAATGCTCGCACAATGTGGGAGACTGGGAGAGTTTTCCAAATTGTTGCAGAAATGATGAGATACAATTTAGAGGTGCTTGGGATCAGTGAAACACATTGGACGCAAGTTGGACAACAACGACTAGCTTCAGGGGAGCTGCTGTTATACTCCGGACATGAACAAGAAAATGCTCCACATACACAAGGAGTTGCATTGATGCTGTCCAAACAAGCACAAAATGCACTTATAGGATGGGAATCTCATGGACCAAGGATCATCAAAGCCTCCTTCAAAACAAAGAAAACGGGGATTACAATGAACTCCATCCAATGCTACGCGCCTACCAATGACTACAATGAAGACGCTAAAGATCAATTCTACGATAGGCTGCAGTCAATCGTCGAGAAGTGCCCAACAAAAGACCTGACTATTCTAATGGGAGACCTAAATGCCAATGTTGGAACTGACAACACCGGATATGAAGAGATCATGGGACGACACGGACTGGGAGAAAGAAACGAAAATGGTGAGAGATTTGCAAATCTATGTGCCTTCAATAAACTGGTCATAGGCGGGACTATATTCCCACATAAACGCATACACAAAACCACATGGACTTCACCGGATCACACTACATAGAACTAAATTGACCATATCTGCATCAACAAAAAGTTCAGGAGGACGATGGAGGACGTGAGAACAAAGAGAGGAGCTGATATAACATCAGATCATCACTTGCTGGTCGCCAAGATGAAATTGAAACTCAAGAGGCACTGGACAACGGGGAGGACAATATCACAAAAATTTAATACGGCTCTTCTTCGGGATACTGACAAACTCAATAAATTCAAGATAACCCTCAGCAATAAGTTCCAAGCCTTTCATGATCTACTCAATGGAGAAGGAACTACAATGGAGAGCAACTGAAAAGAGATAAAAGAAGCAATCACTTCAACATGTCATGAGGTTCTGGGCCACAAGAAGCATCACCGCAAGGAATGGATCACGGTCGATACACTGGATATGATTCAAGAGAAGAAAAAGAAGGCAGCAATCAATACTATCCGAACAAAAGCAGAAAAAGCCAAGGTACAAGCTGAATACACAGAAATAAAAAAGCAAGTGAAGAGGAGCATCAGAACCGACAAACGTAAATATGTGGAAGATTTAGCAATGACGGCGGAAAAGGCTGCAAGAGAAGGAAACATGAGACAACTGTATGAAACAACAAAGAAACTCTCTGGAAATCACCGTAAACCAGAACGACCAGTGAAAAGCAAGGAAGGCAAGATAATCACCAACATTGAAGAACAACGAAACAGGTGGGTAGAACACTTCAAAGAACTCTTGAATCGACCAGCCCCACTGAACCCATCCAACATCGAAGCAGCACTCACGGACCTCCCAATTGATGTTGGCGCACCAACAATTGAAGAAATCAGCATGGCTATCAGACAAATCAAGAGTGGCAAAGCAGCAGGACTAGACAGCATTCCAGCAGAGGCACTGAAAGCAGACGTGGCGGCAACTGCAAGGATACTCCAAACTCTCTTCAGAAAGATCTGGGATGAGGAACAGGTACCAAGAGACTGGAAAGAAGGACTTCTAGTCAAAATACCAAAGAAAGGCGATCTCAGCAACTGTGACAACTACAGGGGAATCACTCTTTTCTCAATACCAGGAAAAGTCTTCAACAGGGTATTGTTAAACAGGATGAAGGACTCTGTAGACGCCCAACTTCGAGACCAACAGGCAGGATTCTGTAGGAATAGATCGTGCACAGACCAAATCGCAACTCTACGGATCATTGTGGAACAATCAATTGAATGGAATTCATCACTCTATATCAACTTCATTGACTACGAAAAAGCATTTGATAGCGTGGACAGAACAACCCTATGGAAGCTTCTTCGACACTACGGCGTGCCTCAGAAGATAGTCAATTTCATACAGAATTCCTATGATTGATTAAACTGCAAGATCGTTCATGGAGGACAGTTGACAAAGTCGTTCGAAGTAAAGACCGGTGTCAGGCAAGGTTGTTTACTGTCACCCTTTCTCTTTCTCCTGGTGATCAACTGGATCATGAAGACATCAATATCTGAAGGGAAGCACGGGATACAGTGGATAGCTAGGATGCGATTGGATGATCTAGACTTCGCAGATGATCTGGCTCTTCTATCGCATACGCAATAACAAATGCAGGAGAAGACAACCAGTGTAGCTGCAGCCTCAGCAGCAATAGGTCTCAATATACACAAAGGGAAAAGCAAGATTCTTCGATACAACACAGCATGTACCAATCCAATCACAATTGATGGAGAAGATTTGGAAGATGTAAAAACCTTTACATATTTGGGCAGCATCATCGATGAACACGGTGGATCTGATGAAGATGTGAAGGCACGGATTGGCAAAGCAAGAGCAGCATATTTACAACTGAAGAATATCTGGGACTCAAAACAACTGTCAACCAACACCAAAGTCAGAATTTTCAATGCAAATGTCAACACAGTTCTACTGTATGGAGCCGAAACCTGGAAAACTACGAAAGCCATTATCCAGAAGATACAAGTGTTTATTAACAGTTGTCTACTCAAAATACTTCAGATCCGCTGGCCGGACACTATAAGCAACAACCTACTATGGGAGAGAACAAATCAGATCCCAGTGGAGGAAGAAATCAGGAAGAAGCGCTGGAAGTGGATAGGACACACATTGAGGAAAGCACCGAACTGCGTCACAAGACAAGCCCTCATATGGAATCCTCAAGGTCGAAGGAAGAGAGGAAGACCAAAGAATATATTACGCCGGGAAATGGAGATAGATATGAGAAAAATGAACAAGAATTGGATGGAACTAGAAAAGAAGGCCCAGGACAGAGTGGGTTGGAGAATGCTGGTCGGCGGCTTATGCTCCATTGGGAGTAACAGGCGTAAGTAAGTAAGTAAGTAATGAGTTGCTGTAGACGATGATATAACTTCCACGTAAGATCTTATAGATTAGGCAGTTACATCATGATAAATCTACAATTTAACATTAGGTCTATTATTAGAGCAGTGCTGATATCATAGTAGACCGTAATTCTACAGGTTCACCAGTTGTAGAAGATTTGATCGAAGTTGAGGCGTGTTCCAATATTTGACTCACCAATTGTAGCGTGGTGTCGAGTTGAGCTTGACTATGAACACCGCTACAAGACTACGTGCCAATTAACCAAAAAGATCCTCGTAGACCAATATCAGAAGGCAGATAATAGTAGTAGTTGAAATATATTTGCTGGCAATCTCGTGGTATCGAAAGAATACCGAGATCGTTCCAAAGGAGTACAAATGCGATCGGCAAGCAAAGGTACGTGCGTAGTCACAAACCGCGTAGAAGGAATGGAATACAATGGAAGACCGAAATGGCTGTTATTAGCACAGTTAAACAAACGAGCACAGTAGAACAGTCACTGGTACAATTGGTTATAATAATAATTGTTTTCATCGAACCAATCGCGTTCTGTTGACAAAAGTAGGTCACTACACTATCATCATCGGTCTTGCTATATGCCGACGATGTCAAGATATGGAGAACGATACGATGTAAGGGTGATAGCTTAGAACTCCAAAATGACCTGAAGAAATTATCCGAATGGTCTCATACATGGAAGCTGCCGTTAAATACTTCCAAGTGTGTTGTGATGCATATCGGTCATCAAGGTTCAGATGCATACACGATGAATAACACTGAGCTACCTGTTGTCCAGACACATAATGACTTAGGAGTCATCGTTGGCCAAGATCTGAAGACTACTGCACACTGCCGTGCAATAGCCGCCAAAGCTTTTAGAACTTTATGGTCAATACGTAGGGCTTTTACTCATGTCGACGCTCAAACGTTTTTGACTTTGTATACAGTGTTCGTACGTCCTAAACTTGAGTACTGCATACAAGCGGCTAGCCCCTGCTTAAAAAAAGACAGTGAGCTTTTGGAAAAGGTACAGAGAACAGCAACTAAGCTGATTCCCGTAATAGCGAAGCTTCCGTATGATGCTCGACTGGCCAAGCTAAACCTATTCCCTTTATCATATCGTAGAACTAGAGGCGACTTGATTACAGTTTTCAAATTGCTTAGTGATAAATTTGCACCTGATATGCCCTCATTTTTCCTGTCTTCCAAAACAGAGAATTTACGAGGACACTCCAAAAAAGTTCACAAGCCCAGTACAAATTACTTGTCAGCTGATTATCGACTTTCCCACCGAATCATCAACGAGTGGAATTCATTACCTCAACACGTGGTTGAAGCTCCATCCGTAGATTCTTTCAAAAGAAAGTTGGATCAACTGAGAGAACACAATTGCCAGGACTAACACAGGCCATCAAGCCTCCTGTCCTTTCTAAACTGAAACTGAAACTGATCTAGCACTTGTATGTGTCAGAAAATTCATCCAGTACATTAGGGTTTTTTCATAGCCATGCCTTTAGAATTTAAAGTTTTTAGTTTCTGTGTGTATAGTTTTACTGAATCTTTGTACTTATTCAAAGCTGAGTATTTTGTTTCACCAGCTGATATCAGCATACATTTTGGCAGCGCGAGCATATAAAGCTTTGACAGCTGGTTGGATGTCAGATCCATATATTGCTTGTATTGACTTCGTGCTCGCTCTTACCGTTTTTGGTTTCAATACCAAACTTGAAGTCCTGAATATTTAAAGATTCAAATTTTCCCAGAATACGGGGGCGGGAACATAATATTATTTCATTTGAACCAACTAACAACGATGTGGGATGACGTCAGCTACATCGGATAGTGATTTAGTTTTACCCGGACACGTAATTAAAGAGAAATGGCGTATTATCAAAAAGATTGGAGGTGGCGGTTTCGGAGAGATATACGAGGCTCAAGAAGTCAGCTCACAAGAAAAAGTAGCCCTAAAATTAGAATCAGCACGACAACCCAAGCAAGTTCTAAAAATGGAAGTCGCAGTCTTAAGGAAGCTACAGGGCAAAGAACATGTATGCAAATTTTTGGGTTGTGGGAGAAATGACCGTTATAGTTATGTCGTAATGTCACTTCAAGTAAGTTTCTTCCTTACGCTACTATTCGCTTGAAAATCTGTGTTACTGGTTAGAGATGATTGCATGGCATTGTGAGTTGCTTGCAGATAGACTCATCATCCAGTGTTCTTTTGCACTAGTACTATTCATTGGTATGATTTCGTTTCATCTAGGTTCACAAGGTTGGTGTTACATCTACCGTTTCGTTTTTTTCGTTTTTCATAGGCTTATTCATCTAATGCCATTTATATAGTAAATATCAGTCAAGCTCGCTTTCGAAAGTTCTTTTGGAAGTGTGCTTAGGCAAATGTTTTGAAATGCTAGTCTTCAGAAAAAATCAATTTAACATTTTCATTTGGATTTCGATTGACGTTGTCGGGACGGTTTCTCTGTAGCTCTTGGTGTAAATATATTCCTAGGGTCATGCAGTGCCTCTTTCTTTATTTTGCGTCAGTATTGATGTTTAGGAAGTACTTTTTAAATTTATTTTCGTCCCATTAATCCTCATGAATTTACTATTGAAAGACTGCAGTGTGAACCGTTATATATTTGGTGCGCAGTAGTAATATTACATGCTGGTTGACACATCTCAATACTAAATTCTAAAGTAATCACTTAAGCTTCTATCATTGTCCCAAGACTAGTTAGACAATCAGCTACAACGTAGGACCAGGCACATATATGCATCGGTCCAAGTTGCCGTACCTTATTAGCACAACAAGATGAACATCGGATTCATAAAAGTGGTTAATTCAGTGGTGGAAATACATAAAAGAAAGATTGCATATAAGGACATCGTACAGAAAGAAAGAATTAGTTCGTAGAAAGAAAAATATGAGACGATTTTAATCTCATTGTTTAAGGGAAGACAAAGAGTGTAGACCAACTTAAAACTGATTGTAGTATACTGTCAAGCTAAACAAAGTATTGGTTTAAGGCATTACACCTCATTGACAAAAAAGTTGACTTGAAATGTAGAAGACAAACTTGTGTATTCAAGAATTAATTTTTCGTTTCCAGGCTTTGATATTGTTAAATGTTCATTTATTTACTTATTTATTTTATTTATTTAGACACAAATATTGGCACAAAGGGGCACCAAATACATATACACCACATATCACTTGATTTGTGGGTGGAATGTAATACTGCCCGGATGCCCAAATCGAAGCAGGTGGTTTCTGTAGGGGGTCACACCCGGAGCCTTTGACCTAAAGGTCTGATCCACAAGGCAGTGGAGCATCGTAAGGAGATGCAGTCCCATGGTAGCCGGTGACCAACGATTGGCTCATACGCCATTTGTTCCCTCAGGATAATAGAGTCTATGTGCACCATTGGTTTTGAATCAGGGTTTTCCAACTCCCCTGGGTGGACTCTCCATGTCCACCAACCCAGTTAAAGCACCGGAGTTTTGATTTTCATCCTATCAATTTTGTAAACATCAACCCAGCCACGAGAAGGCAGTGAGCGAAAGTTCAATGCTTCCACCGAATACGAGTACTAAAACAGTCTTTCTGGAACCACGTACACGTGGTCGTTATTGTTCATTTTTACTCACATTGCAGTCTTTATCTCTTTCCATCCTCATTGATATTGCGTGGAGCATATGTATCTGGTGCCCCCTTGTAACATATTTGTGTTCAAATAAGTAAATGTATGCACGTGGCCATGTGAAAGCATTTCTAGAGGAAGAGCTGCCTCTCTCCACTCTCGGCTGTACCAGGGAATTCGGGGGTCAGTTATTTACTACAGTTGGTGCAACGGTAAAATTAACTGTCCTAAAAATACCAGTCATCACTACCTAGTCATATTTTTCATACCGTTTTCCGTAATCCCGACACCGTTACATGACGTTTAAGAAGTTTCCAATGCTATTTAAGACAAAATTGAACAGTATTAGATGAATTGATGATTGAAAAACTGGTTCACAACAGTGGGGTCAAAGTAGACGTGCTGATATTTTGTGAAGCAGCTATACTGATCTGTCAGATAGGATTACAATTTTTAACTATTTACTTACCTAACAAACAGTTAGTGTTTTTTTTGTTGTATAAATAGTCAAATCAATCACGTCGAAAATGCTTTAATTTGTATTATGTACGGTGTTGGGTAGATTCTCCAAAAAAACGACTATGATGTCAGTGGATGAAATCGGAGTCGTTTGTCACTATATTTTTGTCAGTTTGTTTATCATGGTGGTCATTAACAGTTTAATAGAGATAGGGAGTAATTCTATCCACTGTGCTTTGTGTAAATGGAGTTAATTGTTTCTGAAGACAGATCTGATAACTTCCACACATTAAGTGTACGACACAAACTGTCATATCCGTTACGCAAAACAAATCCCATAATTTGGTAATATGGGTCACCTATTACTACGAACTTTACGTTTTTCACTATCACCAAAATTAATTCAGCGCTTTACTTAAATGACTAATTTTTGTGATACATCATACGCACAGCGTCCTTTATAAGAATAACCCAATCGGTACTAGTTTGTTCACTAACAGGAAAAATATCTACTGTCATTCGGAGCCTACATATCCATTTAATCATACGTTAGCCTTTTAAAGGTGTACAGTTGCAGAAGAGTAAATTATTAAGTTCTGTAAATTTCGATATCTTTTCTCTCTAGTTAAGGGTTTATTAGGGGTCGATTGTTTTAATGGTTCCTAAAATGACTTGAAATTCCCTGATTATATTATCGCTAATAATTAAATTGTGTTGTAGTGTAAACATTTTTCTTCCGAGGCTGTTTATTTTTGTTATACTTGATATTGAGCCAAGTATTCTACTATTTATGTTTTGTCTCGATAAGATTAGTGAATAGTAACTTATGGGATCCATTTATGGGTCAATACTATGCGTATACTTTTATTGTATGATTGTTAAATAAGTAAGTTATTCATATTCATGTCTCTCTTATCATGAGCTTTATTTTGACCTGTGAATTATTATTATACGATTTACCATTCTTAAGTTATTCACAGTTTATTAATTACTACCTCCCTCAATCACAGCCACATTTAGCTAATTCTTGTACAAAAGTTGTTTCATATTTTATGGCACGATGTAGTCTATTTGGTTGGTATATAAACCGAGCATGTTTGAAATAAATGATTCATGTTTCAGAGGCTGAGATTGGTGTTCTGGACTTAACTGGCTGGGCTAGGTAGGAAGCAGGACCGATAAGTACTCTAGACTGCTCGCACGGGTTTTATGCGTCATTGGTCCGACCGATAATTCACTGCCCTCTTATTGACGGTATCGTTACGTTATACATTAACAGGGCACACAGGTCACAAGTTATAACAATTTTTCAATAATTTAATCACTTCTTCTTTACTAGGTTTTTTGTGTGAACTGGTATTTTGCTGTGAATGCTTCTTTGTATCAATGAATGTCTTTTTTTTCGAAAGATAGACTATTAGCCTTCATTTAATGGACATGAAGTGGTGGCCCATCTTTTAGAGTTTCCAGCCACTAAGTCTCAGGTCCATACTACTCTTTACCTATTTCGGCCTGGGCAGTAGAGCAGTATCACTAGCCCTCACACTTAGAGAAGTGTAACTCTAAAGTCAAGCACACAAATATGCACCTGATGAAGGAGTCAATTAAATATTTAATAGTAACACTTTAGAACTCATAATTAACCATACTTATACTGAGTTTTTTTCTACAGAAAAGACTAATATTAAATAACTTTTACTTGATTAAAAATCAATCTAAGTGTCTTTCAACTTTTTATCGATCGTTTATTGTTGTGCTTTTACAAACCTGACCTAGATTCAATGTTATGTTGAGTACAGTAGGTGCGATTTATTTGAGTTGTTCTTAAAATTGTAGGTTATGTAGTTTTCACATCATATTGTACCATTGGGACGAATAACAAAGTATTAACTCCCTTTTATTTGGACTGTTTTCAACTTTCAGTTGCGTAGATCAGGGATAACATACTTTTGTGATTATTAGGTCTAAGTAAAACAAACAGTAAATAGATTTCTTGTTTAGAATATTTTTGATGATACTTTCGTACCCTTACTGCTTAGAATTTTTTGGATACTACCTCACGCGACCAGTCCCCGAAATCAGGACACAGCTTGGACAGAAACATAATTATATTCTAAAACAGACTGAGAATGAATAGGGAAAATGCTAGTATATTTATAATTTAACACAAGAAAATTCTAGAGTCTTCTCCATTTATCCACCACTACTGATTGACTAAAAACAGGGCAATCAATGTTCTTCAACATAATTCCAATCTGTCCTGTTAAATATTTTGTATTACGCTACATGACTTTAATTGCGGTTGAGATTAACATCTATACATAATACTGAATTCACTTAATGCTAACTTTTCTATGTGTTATATATCAGTGCATAGTGTTGTTTGATGCGTAATTTAAGTGTGTTGAACGTAATAGTGACAGCATGTGTGACTTGTAGCCATTTTCGTCAGAGTTAAATTATTGCACCATTTGATTTGATTAGAGCTGTCAGGAAAAAATCATTATCGTTTAACAAGATCTGTGGTTTAAGCACTTTGTAAGTCACTAATTTTTTTTAGGAATTCCAATCTAGTACTAACTATCGTGGTTTAACCATTTAACTAATGACTCAAATTACCATAAAATAAGTCGTATGTAGATTACAGCAATTAAGTTAAAATTAGTTACTTAATTCCGGTTGACCTATTATGTTGAAAGTAACTTCCGGTTACTTTGCAAGTGTTTATTTACGTACACATATACAGTCAGTAAGTAATATGAAGTATTACCCATAAATAAATATTTGATTTATAAATATTCATTTCTTCCGAATCTGATACCACATGATGCTTGTTATTGTAGTTTATAGGTTCCAAGAATAGGGATCGATCTTTTATTGTTAGATATAAAATTTCTATCAGAATTTTGCTAATTCATTGAATAGCGGGACCGTGGATGTGCACTACTGAGGAATCCCACAATAGGACGAATCGGTCGTTCAGTGCTTCCAGGTTTTCTACGGTGGTCTAG